ATGTTCCCAGTACACTCTTAAAAACACCTCACTGCAGGGAAAAGGAAGCTCTTTGCGCTTTCAAATGTTAGCTTAGTGTAGCAAGTCCTGGAGACATGCTCTTGTTTTTCTTGCTTTCTGTGCTTTATCCCCCTTTCTGAACCTTGTAAGTGCTGATGAGAAGTTCCAAGCAAATAACCCAGGAAATAACACCTCGCAGCTCGCTCGTTCCCTGGAGGAGAGAGGAGCTGGGACTGTAGCTCAGGGACATGCATGTGGGCTGACGGCAGCGTTCAGGTTTTGCGAGTAATAGAAGCACGTTCCTGCTACCCTGTCTGTACTTGCTCTTCGGTTCCCCGTGTTCAGTGGTACAGCCTCGGGAGACAATAACTCGGGCGCCCAGTCTGAGGAAGGGGTCGGGCTGTCACTAGCCAGCACAGGCAGGGGCCACGCCTGGAACCTCAGCCCACTAGCCACAGACTCTCAGGCCACAGAGCAGCTCAGCCACAGCTCTGGTGTGTCTTGGTTTTAAGCAACAGGGAGTCTTCACCTTTTTTTTTTTTTTCAATTTATTGGGGTAACATTGGTTCACAAAACCATATAGGTTTCAAGTGTTCACAACTCAATAGAACATCATCTGCACACTGCATTGTGCACCCATCGCTCTAAGCAGACTCTCTTTCTGTCCCCATTGTCCTCGCGCTTTGCCCACCTCCTCCTACCCTCTGTCCCCCTTTCTGAAACTCTGGCTATCATCAGGAAGTCTTGGCCTTTAAAACCATGCATTGTCCACCCACAGGACAGCTCAGAAACCTTCAGGTATTTACCCTGTCCCCCGAGACTGCCACCAGGTGAAGCCTGGCTCAGTAGAAACCAGCAAGTGCTGAACTTCAGAATTGCAACTGAACCCTGGCCCAGCCCATTCAGGCCTTTCTCCAGGTGGACCCAGCAGAGCCTGGGAGGCACGGCAGAGAATACAAATGGGTAGACCTTCTGGGGGTCACTCAGAAAACCACACCCAGTCCCGGTTGGAAGGTGCTCAGAGGTCCTTCATTCTATTTGTGGTGAGAAAGCTGAGTCCTGGAGAAAGATGAGCACCAGTTGTTGTGAAGGAAATAAGCCAGTGAGCTGAGAGGTGCCACCTTTGATTTTCTACAGGGTGGTCATGGGTGTAGAGGGAAACACCTGGCACTTGGGCACTCTGAGGATATGTCACTTTCCCTGAGCCCCCCCACGAGGTTGGATCTGTGAGCTCCTAGCAGAAGGCTCAGTGTCCTCAATCCTGGTAACCTCCGACACTCCAGCCCCGTGCAGCATTGCCCCGAATTGTCCAGCTTCCAGTAGCTGAGCCAGGACAGACCCAAGGCCTCCTGCCCCCAGCCTGGGGCCACCTGGACTCCAGAGTTAGGACAGGGACCTGGAGATCAGTTCTGCCATTTCTTAGTGAGGAAACACAGGCTCTGACTCAGTGGTCAGGGGACACTGAGGAAATGTTTGAAGCTTGTCATTATCGCAAGACATGTAAACCAGATGTCCACATTGGATGCAAACGTTTTGAAAGACGCTTGTAGCCAGGTATCTGTTGAGTCTTGGGAGGCCACAGTGAGAGATGTTTCATGCAGCCTCTGGCTCCACCACTTGCTAGCTCTGTTCTCCTTGGCATTTTATTTATCCTGTTGCGCCTTGGTGTCCTTTCTCATATAATAGAGTTTAGAATACCTGTGTCACAGGGCTGTTGTGCTAATCCAAAGTCATGCACTCATTCATTCAACTCATCATTCAGCAAACATTTCTTAAACATCAGTCATATGCCAGATGGTTATAGTGTTCCTACCTGTGTTCTACTGGGGGAGACAAATGGTACATAAGTAAACAAATTAAAAAGATGAGCATGTTCCCTGGCCAGTGTGCCCAGTGGTTAGACTGTCAGCCCAGTCAAAGGCATGTGCCTGGGATGCAGATTTGATCCCCAGCCCTATCAGGGCACTTGAGGGAGGCAACCAGTTGATGTGTCTCTCTACATTGATGTTCCTCTCTCTCTCTCTCTTTTTCCCTTCCTCCCCTCCCCCACCTTTCCTTCCTCTCTCTCTAAAAATCAAGAGAAAAAATATCCTCAGGTGAGGATTAATAAAGTAATTTAAAAAAAAAAGAAAGATGAGCACCAGTTGTTGTGAAGGAAATAAGCCAGTGAGCTGAGAGGTGCCACCTTTGATTTTCTACAGGGTGGTCATGGGTGTAGTGGGAAACACCTGGCACTTGGGCACTCTGAGGATATGTCACTTTCCCTGAGCCCCCCCACGAGGTTGGATCTGTGAGCTCCTAGCAGAAGGCTCAGTGTCCTCAATCCTGGTAACCTCCGACACTCCAGCCCCGTGCAGCATGGGTTAGATGCCATACCCTAGCTCCATCTCGGGTATTATTGAACATGCCCCATAAGCACACAGGAAGACTGTGAACACTGAAGCCATGTTCCTAATGTCAAATACGTCTTAGCAGTGACCTTCCTGTCTTCATTACCGTAGCCATTAACCCACCTCAGGGTCAATCTTTCTCCCAGCTAAGAATACCGATGTCACAAGGTTATTGTCCAGATCTGAAGTCATACACTCATTAACTCACCATTCAACAAAGGATGACTGAGACAGAAAGAAGGGGGTGCTTTTCCCTTTGCTCAGTGATATAACTTTGTTCTTTTAAAACATTCCTGAAGCTCAGCCGGTGTGGCTCAGTTGGTTGAGCAATCGGCCCATGGACTGAGAGGTCCCAGTGCAATACCTGGTCAGGGCACATGCCCAGATTGTGGGCTAGATCCCCAGTGGGGGCTTGCAGGAGGCAGCCAATTAATGTATCTCTCTTCTGTCGATGCTTTTCTTTCTCTCTTCTTTCCTCTCTCTCTAAAAAATCAATAAAAACATTTTTTTAATGTTTCTGAAGACAAGTCTGTGGCGTTAAGCCTTTGTCAACATTTGTTCCTGGGTTTTGTGCGGGGAGGTCCTTTACATTTCTGTTATTATGAGTCAGGAACAGGGTTGCCAAATAAGTGTCCATTTGGACAGCTTAGAGAGAAATGGGCTCCTAGATTTGGTTACTGAAAGCTGTAAATTAAGAGCATAACTTATATTCGCTTATCATTTTACTGTCAGCAATCATGGCCGACATTCACGGAGCACACGCTCTGGGAGGCGCTTGTGCCTGGCTCACCTCGTTCGGTCGTCACCGCCTGCGAAGCAGACAGGACAGTCAGTTCACAGTCTCAGAGCAGAGTAAACTTCTAAGAGCCTGAGTCTGAGTGAGGCCACGAGACTGGTCTCAAGTCACCAAGCTGATAAGGACTGGACTCTTAGCTCTTAAATGCGCGGACTCTGTGTCTTCTTCACAGCTGTGGATTTTTAGGACTGTGCTCACTAGACAGTAGGCCCCGAGCAAACATTTGCTGAATGAATGAGTGTATGGGAAAAGACGGGCCAAAGCTCATATTATCTGTCTGCCTTTCAAGTGCTTTTTCTAGTTACTTCAAAGACTAAATGAGTAACTTTATGTGAAGTGCTTGAACGTGACAGCCACATGATAGGTAATCGGCTACATTAGCCGTAATGTTAGCCATACTCTCGGCATTGACTTTTATGTAGTACATACTGTATCCTGGATGCTCTTGCCACTCTGGGTATCACCCTGTGTTGACATTTTCTTTATTACATTTATTCACTCTAGACTGAGTGGACTATTGTTTTGACCTAAACTTCAACCAAAATGAAAACGAGACATTTTTAGCTGTTTTCACCAGGAGGTGGGAAGGATAGTCATGGGGGTGCCAAGTGGCTTTCCCTGGTGGCCTTTTCCGGGCAGTCTTGGATTCGTGCCTGTTTCTAACTAAGTAGTCATCAGAATTTCCTCAATGCCATGAGGGCAGGTAACCTAGTCCCACCCCATCAGGGGCTCTTGCCTGCCTGTCTTTAATTCAGTGGGAAGGAACCCTTACTGAAACAGTTTCCTGGCTTGTTCTCTTTCCCATCCCCCTCCTTAGAGATACAGAAGGCATCTTGTGTCAGTGGCCTCACATCCTTTCCTGATGCCTTCACAGGAAAACCCCAAATATGTGACATGGCTTCCCACCTCTTAGTCGTTCTGAGTTCTAATGGGAGTGCATCTTACTGGCTACATCACCACATGGAAATGCAGGGTGTTATACTCCCGCGCAGGAGGCAGTGTAGGGGCTCTGACCTTTCCAAGCCACCAGCCCTGCACTCCCTGCCCCCATGTAGAAACCTAGGGGAGGGGGCCTCCCGCACACCTCACCACCATGTAGAAACTTAGGGGAGGGGGCCTCCCGCACACCTCACCACCATGTAGAAACTTAGGGGAGGGGGCCTCCCGTACACCTCACCACCATGTAGAAACTTAGGGGAAGGGGGCTCCCACACACCTCACCACCATGTAGAAACCTAGGGAAGGGGGCCTCCCGCACACCTTACCACCATGTAGAAACTTAGGGGAGGGGGCCTCCCGCACACCGCACCACCATGTAGAAACCTAGGGAAGGGGGCTCCCGCACACCTCACCACCATGTAGAAACTTAGGGGAGGGGGCTCCCGCACACCTCACCACCATGTAGAAACTTAGGGGAGGGGGCCTCCCGCACACCGCACCACCATGTAGAAACCTAGGGAAGGGGGCTCCCGCACACCACACCACCATGTAGAAACTTAGGGGAGGGGGCTCCCGCACACCACACCACCATGTAGAAACTTAGGGGAGGGGGCTCCCGCACACCTCACCACCATGTAGAAACTTAGGGGAGGGGGCTCCCGCACACCTCACCACCATGTAGAAACTTAGGGGAGGGGGCCTCCCGCACACCTCACCACCATGTAGAAACTTAGGGGAGGGGGCTCCCGCACACCACACCACCATGTAGAAACTTAGAGGGGGGGCTCCCACACACCACACCACGTAGAAACTGCTGCTGCTTTTGCTTTGGCATGAGAACTGTGAGATTATAAAATTGTCTTGTTTTGTTGCAGAAATTTCCAGAATTGAAATTCAAATATGTGGAAGAGGAGCAGCCCGAGGAGTTCTTCATCCCCTACGTCTGGTCTCTGGTCTACAGCTCAGCCGTAGGCCTGTACTGGAGCCCACAGGACATCCAGCTGTTCACGATGGACTCCGACTGAGGCCGGCCTCCCCCACCGAGCACCCTTCTCGGTTCCTCCTTCGGGCAGGTGGAGGCAGGTGGCCTGGTGGATCTTCTGCTGAAGAGGGGCACACAGGCGTGTTTCCCTTGCACACTCAGACGTGGAGAATTGGTGCCAGTTGGCAGTAGATCACTCAGCTTAGATTGTAGTTCAAAAAATGCAATAATAAATGTAAAACCTGCTGTCCCACATGCCCTTTTATTTATTTCTAAACCAAAATCAAGAGCTTTTCCAGGAACCTGACGCCTTAGGCATACAACACCACCAGTACACACTTTTTAATGCATGTTCAAGATTTTTGTTTTAGTCATGTGTGTATGTATTTGTGTTTCTTTCAACATTCAGAAATATCAGCCTGAAGAGATAAGACAGGAACGAATGAGGAAATGAAGTCGTCTGAGTGGTGACGACACTGCGGGGCAGTGGGCTGTACGCCTTTGGATGCTCTGCGTCCTCCCTCGGAGGGAAGTGCGCCTCCTCGTGAAGCCCACATGAGCTTTTCTGTGGATTTGGCCTCTGCGCTGTAGCTGAATTAAATTGGAGTCTAGTACAAATTAAGTTAATCTACTCTGTATTAATCATTAGGAAAAGAAAAGCTTCATTTCAAAAGCAATCTTTTTTCTTCAGCCAGACTCAGGAGAAAAAAGAGACCAATTTGATTAATACAGTATTCCACATGAGATGAAAAACATGTTTTTCTCTTCGTTTCTGACTTTCTGTGAACTCTTTGGGGCCTAGATGATGCATGTTTGGTGCCTGAGCCGGAGGAAGGAGCTTCTCTGAGGGCGGCAGCCAGCGTGCCCCCGGCAGAGAGCGGCCCTGAGGCAGTGGCCGGTCCTGCCGCGCCCGCTCCACGTCCAGGTCACCCTTCAGTCTGGGGGAGGAGCCTCGTTTCATCCACAAAGACAACGTATTTCCTGCCTAGAAGCACATCGTTCCACAGGAGACAGCACCCGCTTCAGCCCGCCGCCCTCTCGTCTCTGTGGGCAGCAGCTTCTCTCCTGCCCTGTGTCCCCAGGCTGGGAGCCTGAGTCGTGTGGGTCCGTCAGTCTTTTGAGGGCCTGGAGGAGCTGTCCGCGGCCACACCCAGCTCTGGAAATGGGGAAGCCTGCCAACACGCCATGCACATCTGTGTGGCTCCCGCTGGGAAGGGCCTGGGCCGCTCCGTCCTCCGCAGGCTTCCGCGGTCGCCGGTGGTTTCAGTCCTGGGACCGGTGCTGACACGAGAGCTCTCTCTGTGGAGAAATGATTTACAGCTTCCATTTGTTTCTGAAGCATTTTGATTTGCTTCCTTGAAACCAAAACACAACATTTTCAGAGGGTCACATGCAGCAGCTGAGCCTCTGGTGGAACCTCAGAACTGTCCTCAGAGGCTGAGGGCTGGGCAGTGTGTGGGACAGTCACTGGGCTGCAGGACCATCAGTTCTTGTGATGAGAAGGAATCTCAGTCTTCCCTGCACCACCTGGCTTACTGAGGTGCCCCCGAAGCCCATTCTCCAGCAGGCTCCTCTCCCTCCCCACCCCCACCCCACCCCCTTTAATTAACCACACAGCAGAAGTGCTCACTGGCCTGAAAGCTCAGCGGGGGCTGCGGCCCCAGAGGTGGCGTGTGAGCACACGCTCCCAGATACCACTGCGTCACCGCCTTGGCGCTACAAACCCGCCAGGAGCTGCTTATTTTTGTGAGAGATTTATTACATGACAATAAATTTAAATGATACACTTGAATTGTGCTTGCATTAATTTGCTTAGAAATTTTGTTTTCCACAAAGTAAAAATGTGTAGAATGAGGCTATACAGGACCATCGTGTGTTAGGAGGGAAATTAACATCTGATTTTATCGAAGATAGAAGCTGTCATTGCAATGTGTCAACCTATCAACAAAGGGTTCCGCCACAATATTTACTCTTAAAAAAATGTGCCCCTTTCAATAGCACCTTACCTTCGAAGAGTTTGAGGCACTGTACAGAACAGCTTCAGAATTATAACTGGTTCCCATAGTCACCCATTGAGGCTGGTGTCAGAGGCTCTGGGAACAACCGCCCTGCAGCATTGGCATCATGGGACAGCCACCAGTCAACAGTGCAGACAGACGGCTATGGAGCAGCTCAAGGACAAAGACAGGAAGGAAGCAAAGAAGGTCCTGAAGGTGAGGAGACAACGTGCACCGCGCACAGTCCTCTCCTTGGGAAGGAAATCGCAGGAGCTGGCGGAGCAGGAGACGGGAGGAAAGAACATTCAGCAGCTCCTCCGGCGTGTTAGGGTGCGCCCATGAGAAACGTTCCGCAGGGGGGTGCTCTTAGGCCCTACATTTCTTACGTCATTCTTTGGCAACAGTGTTCTCCAGGTTCTGGGGAGCCAGGGTTTTGCCTTTGGCACTCGAGCTCTCTGCATAACCGAGTCGCTCTGTGTTCCTTCCTAGAGCCATAAATTAGGGCTGTGATGCTGGCTGATCCTTTCTAAGCTTGAGTTTGCGAGGTCAACCCTTTGGGTCTTGGTTTCCTCCTAGGCACGATGCCTACAGTTTCAGTAGCTGCCATTTGATATCAGGGTCTGATCCTTGGGCTTTCTGACACCACACTCCGGGCTAATCCAGTGTCCTGCATCGCCTCCAGGAGGCTAGGAGGCCAGGGTTTCTGTTGTCTGGTGAAGAGCCAAGCTTCCTCTGAATGTGAAAAGCTGAGGAATGGATTATAGCACACAGTTCACAGCAAATAATTTTAATTTTTAAGAACTCAAAGCATAAAATTTCATCTCGGGGTATATCCACTTGGGGTCCCCCATTCTCAATAAAGGAGATTCATCGGGAACCCCCTCCCCCTTGGTCAGGTCATATATGGCAACCCCTGCTCTCCTGACTCTGCAGGGCTGTCAAGTGCAGCTACTCTGCCTGGAGTTCAAAGAGGCCCTCAGGAAAAGCAGTCCCATATGAGCGGCCAGGTGATTCTGCACCATCCTGTTGGCTTCAGGATCACTTCAAACAAAAGTTTTCAGTATTTTGGCCTGCTTCCCAAGTTGTCCTTAGCTGAAGGTTGGTTGGATTACTTAGTCCTTCATGACTATCCTTCATGGATTCTGTAACCCGGACCCTGAGTGTGGATCGAGGTGAAAGCAGATGGCTGGTGCCCCCCAGGTGCCGAGCATGTGTACATTCTCCCTGGAGGAAGCAAACTGTTAGGGACTGAGTGTTCACGTACCACTTGGAGAGGTGATTAGGTTTAGATGAGATCATGAGGGTGGAGCCCTCCTGATGGGATTAGTGCCCTTATAAGAAAGGACTTGGAAGAGACTTGATCTCTCCAGCATGTGAAGTTATAGCAGGAAGAACACATCTGTAAGCCGTGAGGAGGGCTCTCACCAGGAACTGAATCATGCCGCCTCCGGAACTATAAGCCAGTCAGTCTGTGGTATTTTGTTATAGCTGCCCAAGCTAAGACAGGAGTATTACCTAAGGCCTCAAATTATTTCTACAATAAATCAGAAGTATCCAAGTATATGAGATAATATGAATTAAAACCATCGGAGAAAAAAAACATACCCACACTCTGCAGACAGTCATAGAATTTAAAACAGTTGTGCTTTCCGTGTTCAAAGAAAAAATTTGTGATCAAGAATGTCAGAAAAGTTAGAAACTATAAAAAGGGACCAAATAGAAGTTCTAGAACTGAAACATACTATAGCAAGATTTAAGAATAATTCATTGGCTGTATTCAAGAGCAGATTAGTCACAACTGAGAAGAGAATGATAAGATGGAACATCAGAGGGAAAAGCATAGAGTCAAAAAGTTGGAAATACACCCAGCCAGTGTGGTTTAGTGGTTGAGCCTCGTCCCATGTACCCAGATGTCACCCATTCAATTCCCAGCCAGGGCACATCCCCGGTAGGGGGCATGCAGGAGGCAGTCGATCCAAGGTTCCCTCTCACATTGATGTCTCTCTCTCTCCTCCCTCCTCTCTCTCTAAAAATCAATTTAAAAGAAATATTTAGCCCTGGCCGGTTTGGCTCAGCGGTTGGAGCATTGGCCCGCGGGCCAGGGAGTCCCGGGTTTGGTTCCCACTAAGGGCATATACCTTGGTTGCAGTTTGTCCCCAGTTAGGGGTGTGTGAGTGGCGGCCACTTGGTATGTCTCTCTCACATGGATGTTTCTCTCTCTCTCTCTCTCTCTCTCTCTCTCTCTCTCTCTCTCTCTCCCCCCCCCTGTCTCCCTCTCGCTCTGTCTGAAGATAATGCAGAGGTGTCCTTGAATGAGGATAAAAAGTAAATAAATAAATAAAAAAAAAAGGAATAGCTCTGGCCAGTTTTGCTCAGCGGTTAGAGCATCAGCCCATGGACCAAAGGGTCTCAGGTTCAGTTTCCAGTCAAGGGCACATACCTCGGTTGCAGGTTCCATCCCTGGCCCTGGTCAGGGTCATGCGTGAGGCAACCAATCAATGTGTCTCTCACATCAATGTTTCCCTCCCTTCCTCCCTCCCATCTCCCTCCCTTCCACGCTGTCTAAAGAAATCAGTGGAAAAATATTCTCTGGTGAGAATTAACCAAAAAGGAAAGAAAAGATAGGGAATAGAAGGGAGGAGATATGAAGGATGAGAATGACCAAAATGTAGTTGGAATCTCGCCCTGGTCGGTTGCTCAGTGGTTAGAGCATCAACCTGCGGTCTGGAGAGACCCAGGTTTGGTTCCCGCTAAGGACATGTACCTCGGTTGCAGTTTGTCCTCGGCCCTGGTTGGGTCGTGTGGGTGGCAACCACTCGATGTGTCCCTGTCACATCCATGTTTCTCTCTCTCTCTCTTCCTCCCACTCTATCTGAACAAAATATCAAAAAATGTCCTCGGGTGAGGATAAAAAAAAAAATGTAGTTGGAATCTCAAAAGAGTAAAAGAATGGGATGTTTGCATAAATACTGGCGAGAACTCATGCAAAACTCAAGATACCAGGCCATAAATTCAAGGAGCCCCAACAAACCTCAAGTGTGATAGAACAGTCTACACAGAGACACATCATTGTCAAACTGTTGAAAACCAAAGAAAAAGAAAAATATTCATGTTCCCAGTGGTGGGGGTCAGTATCACCATCAAAGGAGCAACAGTAAAACAGCTAACTTCTCAGCAGAAACAGTGGAAGACAGTGACGTGGTACCCCTACAGTGCTGAGAGTGACCACCAACCTAGACATCTCTAATTG